ATATATATATATATAGAGAGAGAGAGAGAGAGTTTTTTTATTTTCTTATTATAACCATGAAGAGAACAAGTCATCTCGAATGATATTTTTATGGATCTTGCGTTTGGGTTGCTGGCCTAGAGGTGGAAGTTAGTGGGAGAAAGGCCCCCAATCTAAAACAAAACATTGTAGGAAAGGCATCTTTTCAAGGAGGACATGGTGCGGGCCATGTAAGAAAAATTGTGCCATCCATAAGTAGCCGTTTACCAACAAATGACTCTTTAATAAAAGCAAGAGTTGTAAGACTAAAGGGGTAAGCTTACGAAAAGGATAAAGCGTCGTATTAACAGAAATGTATATCTGAAATCAGATGGCAAATCTCAATTTTCAAATTTTTTTTAAAAAAGAATAGCATATCTTGATTTTAATAATTATGAATTTAAAACTTTAGATTTTAAGCATTAAAATGATGTACCCTGTAACACACTATGAGGATTTATTTTCTATCATTCATAGATCCACATTTTTAGAACTTCAAATTTCATAACTAGAAACAAAAAATCGATTTTCAGGCAGCTATATATTTGTCGTAAAGATTTCCAAGAAATGTATTTTTCGGAGGGTTTTTGTGGTACTTTTCTATTTTTAAAGCGTAAGCGTTTTGCCAGGGCTGCCACTCTACTTCTGCTGCAATTTCATATGTTCTTTAACAGAAAGGGAGAGAGCGACTACCATCCACGTGAGAGAGCATTCATCCACCAATCGTCAATGTTTTTATTTTTTACTTTTTAATTTTTGGGAGTGCTTCAGTCTTCTTATATAATATCAGCAAATTTTCTTGTTAAAATCCTAAAATTGAAAATTAGCCAAAGTTTTTGGTTCTTATATGATTTTTTCTGTTCTTTGAGAAAATAGGCTCGGGTTTTTTACGGCCAAATGGTAAATACTGTGATATTCCAAAATCTAAATACTGTGATATTCCAAAATCTAAACTGTCCTCAATTTTGAAGATTACCCGGTATTGTAGTTTCGAATGCTTTTACTTAATGAAATTCATCACTCATCATCGATGAATAAGAAAAAGATATTTTGTTGTTCAGAGAGTTTCTTGTTTCAATAGTTCACTGAAATTTTTTATTGCATCATTTTTGTATCCTTTTACTTTTGGTCAATAGAAATTATATACTTTGATGTCGCATTTCAGCTGTTAGGCTGGATCGTTTCATGCAACTTCTGTTGGAGCCTGGGTTCAGTTTTGTCAATGTAGATCCTATCGTACACTGGGATCATTCCTTACCATAGAGTTGTCAGTGTGTGTCCTTGAGTAGGATGACAGCATTGGTTGTTTTACATTTCCTTTTTGGAGTTAAGTTTGGTCGGTTCCCTCTTGCAAAGTATATAGATATGTTGGGTCTTAGAGACATATGAAGTCTGCTACTTGATATAAAAGGGGGACATAACCTGGTGCTGGTCCCGCCTAAGCAGGGTCCTGGGCGGGTCTGCTATCTGATATATTGATCCTTTTTTCTTTTTTTTTCATATTGATTTAAATAGATATATGACTTCCTACCTGAAGTATAAATAAAGTACTGTATGCTCTTTGGAGTTTATTTTTGCACAAAATTCATTTAGTACGAAAATTAACATATGTTGACTGAAGATGGGTATAGTGATGCTCTTTGCCGATGGAGATAAACTCTTTTAGGTTTAGGTATGGATGTAAGTGATTCTATTTTGACATTCCAGTGTCTCACTTATAGATCTAAGTCACCAGCCTCCTAATCTTATTTATGTTAGCATTCCAGAACATATGTACATTCCCCAATTTTACGATTTGAAGCTTTGTAGTTGATGCTTCATGAAATTTGGTTAGGAGATCCATAAATCCCACTGATTTACACCTTTCCCCCCAACAAATTGCCTAGACATCCTTCTGTATGTCCTCCTTTTCTCATCTACTTTGTAGTAATTTCTATGCCTCATGAAATTTGGATGTTAGATGCACTAATACCACTGATTTATGGTCAGGAAATTACTGCTACTTCTGTTATATTTCCTTCCATTTCTTGTTGCTGTTACACTTCTCTCTAAACAGTAGAAAAATATGTTTATTTTTTTCTTCATTGCATCTCAGGGGATAAAATGTTGGAATCCATGATCTTCAATCGTGTTGGAGTTGTAAGTTGTTACTTCTTCACTTGAAACTACTCTCAGTTCTAATGGCTGATATTAGGTCCTGTTCAGGGCCATGATCGCCAAGGGCATGAGCCGGACATGGCACACACACATACAACCATAGAAACAGACACATTCAAACACAAATCCACGTGGTTCTTTTTAGTTGTGTTCTGAATGTGGTGAAAACATGAAATAGAGGGATTTAAGTTGCCCTTGTCCTACAGAATAATTTCTTGTCTTGCGCTGTTTAGTACCTTTTGTTTTGAAAAAAATCCAATAAATTTTGAGATTTTCATGCGATCTAGACTCTAAGAAATGCGATTCCCAAGGGAAGGAGTAAAAGTGAAAAACAGTTACTGTTGATGCAAGCATCGACTTGACAAGGTCGAATTCCATGCTTTAGGGTTACTATCCCTGGTCTTGCCCGAACCTTGCCATGCCAGTTGTTGTTTGGTGGGATCCAACTAGTTCAAGTCTATTGTTGACTGCTTAGTGATGATTCGGTTGAGTAAGATAAATCAAAAGTGCCTCTTTTGCATATTTTTTACCAACTCTGTTCTCTTTACTCTCACTTCAAGATTACCATCGTTCTAGCAAATACAAAGGGCTTTGAGAGGACTCAGCAAATGTAATTTTTACATAAAAAAAACTAGTAACTCTAGAATTTGTACACCTAAAAAATCTCAACTACGACCTAGTGTTTGATTTGGTTTGCATTGAGTCTAGAATTTACTTAGGAGGGAAGTAATAAAAATGAGGGGCTTTAATTGTCAATGCCATTGGTTATTTGGTTGATTTTGTGGGAAATCAGAGCTTATTATTAGATAAAAAACCATACTTTCCTAAACCTTATCCACACCTTTTTTTTTTTTTTTCTACTTTTCGTTTTTTTTTTTTTTGATACCAAAATAGCCTTCACCTTCACAATGAACTTAAGATGTGTAGGTGAATTGAATAAGTCAAGTTTAGCTGTTGGAGTTTAAGGTTAATGTTAAAGTCAATTGCTATTTAGTAGGAGTTGTTGTGGTTAAAGTCAATTGCTATTTAGTAGGAGTTAGTTGTTGTTAGAGTCAATTGCTACTTAGTAGGAGTTAGTTGTTGTTAAACATGGCTACTAAATAGGAGATATTGTAGCCAAGTGGGTATCTTTTATTTTATTTATTATAGTTAAGTATGTGAAAAAGCTAATGAAGATTATGTCAGAGTTATCAAATATCAAATTGATTTGGTGCAATCTCCCTTTGAGATTATTCTCCTTAAATTACAATATTTTTTTATCTTGAGTCGCTTTCTCGACACTAAGACACCATAGCTCGAGGTGAAAAGAAGGTTGTCTTATACTTCCCTTTGGGGATCCAAAATTTAGACCATAACAATTTGGTATCAGACACGGACGAGGGGATGGAGGAAAGAATTTTTAGCTTGTAGAACTCCTAAGAAGTGCATAGAGAAACTTCTGAAAGACAAGGAGCATTACTTGCTGAAATTTTACATCGATTGGATGAATGGAGAGGAGTACCTAGGGACCTTGAAGGATCGACATGACGATCACACGTTCCTACTGGAGCCGGTCAAACATTTGGCAGCAATGGAGGCATCCAAACATGTACCATGGGGTTAGAATTTCCTCGTTTCGATGGAACTAACCCACCTGGTTGGCTTTTCAAAGCCAAATAGTATTTTAATTATCATCAGGTACCTCCATATCAATGGCTAACCATTACATCTTTTAATGTGGACGGAGAAGCCCTCGAATGGTTTCAATGGTACATTGAATACCAACCGAAGGCTTCATGCGAGCAGTTTGTTGAAGCTATGAATGCTAGATTCGGACCTACAAGAAGTGAAAATTATGCCGGTCGACTATCTAAACTTCAACAAACAAGTATAGTATTGGAGTAGTATTGGAGTATCAAAAGGAGTTCCAAAGGCTATCTAACAAAGTCAAGGGGCTTTCAGAAGGCTATCTGATCGATGTTGATGTATACCTCAGCAGATTGAAAGATCAAATAAGGGTTGGAGTTCAAAAGATGAATCCTACTATGTCAAACCCAACAATGTTTTGGGTAGAAGGACTACAAAAAGATGAAAAAGAGGACAACGATGAACCTGAGTTGACAGCTACTCATGAGGAAATAAAGAGGGAGAAGATCTGGATGAAGCACCCCAAATCTCCTTACTTGCAATAGCTGGCACTAGAGCTCCCCAAACCATGAGAATTTGGGAACATTAAGACCTTGTCCTCTCATCATCTTAATTGATAGTGGGTCTACCCATAATTTTATTGACCCCATTATCATCCGGAGAGCACAACTACCTACTCAATCCGAAGCTACATTTGAAGTGATGGTGGCAAATGGAGAAAGGTTGAAGGGGAATGGACGATGTAAAGAAGTACTCATTCATTCACAAGGGGTCCCAATCAAGGCTGATTTCTATTTCTTATCATTAGGAGGGTGTGATGCAGTTTTGGGAGCTCAATGGCTTAGCACTTTGGGACCGATCATGTGTTACTTTTCTTCCTTGTACATGTCATTCAAGGATGGAGAAAAAGAGTTCTTGATAAAGGGAATTGCAGCTGCAAATTCACAAATAGTTGGACTCAGCCAAATGACTAAGGAGATGAGGAGGTCAAGTAAAGCCTATATCCTACAGTTGCATAGCGTGGATATGGTAAGCAAGCCAAGAACCTCAGATGCTTACTGAAATCAGGCTCTTCAAATAAAAAAATGGACAAAGGCTACATCTGGAAGATTATAATGATTGGTGACTGCCATGGATACAGCCTGTAGTATTAAATGGCACTCAAAGCATAGAGGAACATCTCTTATCACTAATTTAGGTGAGTGCTAAAGTCTTGCAGTTATTGTCTCATCAAAATCCCCTGAAAAGGATCATACTTACAACACTTATGGGTACAAGAATAATTTACCCAGGCCTAGAACACAAATAAGACATTCTCAGCTCTGACCAAAAATAAAATGAATTTTTCTCAATTGAGAGTCGTTTCTGTAAAGAGTATTATTTTTTGTGTGAAAGTGCCCATCAATATAATGCCTCACCTTCTAATGCCAAACACCAAGGATGACTGCAATGACGAAAAGGAGCAGCAGAGGTCCATCTCCACCAGGCAATAACTCGACATTTCTAGATTCAGCATATCTGCACAAATAAAATTAATTGATGAGTCGTAGTATTGCACTACTCATATGTAAAAACACATATAATGGCAGATAAGAATACTCAACCTAAATGAGTTGAATATATAGAAAACCATTTTATTTCCTGTAGGAATATCATAAATATGGCCAACCTGCCTCAAATCAACCAATTTATCAACAAATTGGCAATTTGATAAGATCAAGTGAATCAAGTACCTCCTCAAGTATTTTGTTAAAAATGCTTTTATTTAGGGTTTGGAATCCTAAACAAGCTAAAGTATTGGTAATTTAGCCCGCAAAATATGTGGGCTAAACTACCAAACTACCAAAATGCATACACCTGTTTTGGATTCCTAACCTGGAACAAAAGTTTTTAATAAAAAACACATGCTCTGGGTTTGAAACTTAGAACAAGCGGTAGAAGTTCCATTATTTAGGTTGGCCACTTACTTGAGCTAGATAATATAAGTACCCCAGCTTGTTCTAGGTTACGAACCCAAAACAGGAAAATCTAATGAAAAAACATGTTTCAGGTTTGGAAGCTGGAAGAAACAAGGACATTTACATCATTTGGCTTGGGTCACTTAAGTGGGACAAAATTATCAAGTACCCTACTTGTTTAGGATTGCAAATCCGGATCAAGGGCCTTCTTAACAAATACTTGAAGAGGTACTTAAGGGAGGTGATCTTTTTAAAGAAACCACTCTGTTACTAAATTGGTTGAATTGACCACCTCAAAAGCTTTTTGAGGTGGTTATACCATTTTAATTATATTTTATTGTTTTCCAATTATGTAATGAAATACACAACTAAATAGGTAGCATTTGAATAGATAGAAAAGAAAGGGATGGGTCAGATTATTTGGGCTTTATGGGACAAGCTTCAACAGTGTGAACCATTGACCTCCCTTTCCCAAACCAATATATCATGACAAAGCCTATGGGAGGGCAAAAGGCGGCCTAAGGGAGGAAAAAAGGCCAGGTCAGCTTGTTTAGTTTTTTGGGACAAGCTTCAAGAATTCAAACCCTTCGACCACCCTCACCCAAACCAATGTGCCCCCCTCTAAGTCAAAGCTATGGGAGAGGAGCATTTGAATATAGGCAGATAGAAAACCCATTAATCTCGAGTGGTACATGGATCAGCTTGTTTGTTCATATCATAATTAATTTATTTTATTACGTTAGTTGCAAAAAGAATTTATTCTGACAGGATCTGATGTTGTTGGATTGTAAATCAGATATTTCAAGGTCCTGCACCTTTTCTTGGGGCATAGGTGATTATTTCAAGTACATTAATAGTACTCATATCTGGTATAATGGACCCATCCAAAGATTAAAGTAAAATTCACCATGTCTACATCAAGAATGGAGTGTTAGAGTGGACTCATTAGGTACTAAAACAGGGAGTCTTCATTAGAAGGAGAGTTTGCATTAAAGAGGAGCCCATACCAGCCAACCCAAATAAATAGGGTCCATGAACTAACAAAACAATTTCATGAAACAATAAAAAAAACTCCCAGGGCAGGTGGTGCGTCTTGATTGCGGCAACTAATGAGGAACCTGAGAATGTGATTGGAGTTGTGGTGGTAGCACCACTTGCGCCCCAACTAAGGTTTAGGCTTCCATTCTCACCTAACACATTTAAAAATCACTAACGATTTCAAAAAACAGGTGGGGATGACACTGAATTACCCAGAAAAAACTAATGAGAACCTAATCACAATCTCCAAGGCCACATGAGTTATCATGGTTCAACATCTGGTGTTTTCAATTTTATTTTATCTTATTGTTCTTTGATTCCTGTTATTGGTATAGGATGTGGGTTCCATGTTTACACATTATCAGGAGCATTCATCATAATGTTTTTAGATGGGGCATCGCTTTTTAATGCTAGAATTACTCACTGCCCACTCTCCATCTAGAAATCTAACTTTTGACAGAACAACAAGATCAACATGTATAAGACCCCTTACTTTTAGCTCCAAATAAAAATGTAAGTTTCAAATAGGTAGGTGCAAATATTTGGTTGAAAAGCTTTCTTCATGAAAATTGAACATTTTTTTATGCAATTTCAACATAAGCCAATATAAAACCATACCGCTCATTGTTCAAGAGCAGTCTCCTCTTATACAGAAACTTGCAGTGACTTGTGCAACTTCAGACCAAGCTTCAATAAAGCCATTTACTGAATTTGCTATTGTTTAAAGTAAGGTCACTCATAAGCTTGTAACTTTTATAATCAATCAAAACTGAAATCTCCCTCTGAACCATGAACTACCACTTATATTAGACAAATAATGTTGACTTAACCTGAAACATTTTCTGGCTTCAATGATTCTTAGGAAATTTGTATTCAATATCTAAAGATGGAAATACAGTTTAGCTGTCAACCAAATATTATCTCATAACATGATCTGAAATCAGCTAACATCAAAGGCCAATAATGGGTGAGGTTTGTATATCTTTTTCTTCTTCAAGCTTTTATTGCTTATGTGGAGTGAAGTTGATTCAAGGGCGAGAAATTATATGGTTGAGGCCATGAAAATAAGAAAGAAATCAAAACTTTTTCAAGTTTTCAGTATGGCTCTTGAATGAAAGAAGAGTGCTCAAGGCATATACGTGCATAAACTTGAGTATTTATCATGCCAAAATTGCTACCCAAATTTGAAAAGCTCAACTTCCAAGTTCATAAATCTGCACAAATAAAATAGTAAACTTGCAAATATTTAACTTCTCTAGCAGCAAATAAAACTATATATCGTGACAGCCATAAGTGAGATATTCTGTATTTCTATTTCATCATGCAATTGATCCTTTTAAGAATAAGATCTTTCTACACTATTGAAAAGAGCTCTTCAAGAAACTAAGTCACAGTTCAAAATGTGAGCCACTTTTTAGATCATCATACCTTGCTTTCTTCCTGGATCTCTGAATCCAAGCCATGAGTGGTGGTAAAACCCCAAAGAGAAAGCAATTTGCATATACTCCAGCAAAATCAAGTGCTGTTGCAAAAGCCGCACTAAAGAAAGAAGCAATGAGGATTGGAACTCCAAGGACCAGAGAGAACATAAGAATGTTACGAGAATGTTTAATATCAGGCTTTGATTCTTTATCCAGTTTAGAGAGAGAAATAATTTCTCTCTCTAAATTGCCTTCTAAATTCTCATCATCGCCTTTAACGGAAGCATCGAATTCTAATTCCTCAGTAGACAATGGCTTCTGGTAATTTCTTTCTCTTTCAGTAGAAGAATAACTGGGTTGATTTAAGCGACTAAATCTCCTAATTAAATCCAAGGTATCAGAGAGCTGCTGGGGGAAGCTGAGAGCATAGCCAATCAAACTAGTAGCAAGGGCTGAAAATGCAAAACCTTGAACAGCAGGAAGAGCTGAAGAATTCACAGAGACTAAGAGTTTAATGGGATCATTCGAAGATATTCCAGTTCCAGCTAGTCCCAACACTACCAAATTCCATGAAAGAACCATAACCAAAGGAACAGCACCACCAAAGAGAATCGCATTTCTTGCTTCATATGGGGAAGCCCCCACTGTTTTGCATACATATGGGGTGATTACATGAAAACCCAGAGTGAGAACAGTAACTGGAATTGCAGGCAAAATTGCAGAAGGATACCTTGAAGCTTTAGCTAAAGATCCAACTAAACTACTTCTCCCTACTGATAAACCAACTGCAACTAGGGAAGTGATTGAGAAAAGCATGATAAAACAGAGCAGTCTATTCGCTGCATCGATCACCTTGAAATGAAAAAACCCAATTATAATTCCAATTAATAAAGGAAACAGAGCATTTGCAGTGAGATAATGAATCCATGGAAACCGCTGAGAGACAAGTGAACCAATCCCAGATATGCAAGCAACCAATAGAGAGAAGTTAAGGGAAGCATAAACCACCGCAATCAACACACCCAAGTTTTTTCCTAACGCATTGATCGCTAAGCCTGTGAAGCTCACCTCAACCAGGCCCTCTTCCTCCATTAAAGCATAAGAGAGCTCAGCAACAAGAAGAATTGAAGAAATTACATAGACCCAAGAAAGAAAAATGGCAATGGTTGATGGTATGGGACCTGAGCGAATAGTTGCAGAGGGCAAACCCAACATTCCGGGCCCAACAGCCGTGCCAAGGATCAAGCTAACGGCACCCCAAAAGCTCTTTCCTTCTTCATTTCTCTCTCTAAAAACTTCTGGGCCTTCCATGTCATGACCATTGTGCGAAGAAATGGAAGTTTTTGTAGGGTTTTGGGGTGTGAAGCGAGAGAGAAGCAACGGGTAGATTGGGAAGGATTTGGAAGAGAGAGTAAAAGAGGAAGAATGGTGAACTGTGAGGTGGAAATGGTGATTGGGGTTGTGATGTAGAGAGACAAGGGGTGAGCGGAAGGAGGTAGAGTGAGACAGGAGCATGGTGGACGTTGACAATCTGTTGCACGTTGACAGGCTGAGAATCTGTTGGGGGAAGTCCACCATGGAATTTAGACCTAATAAACACATAAATTCATATAAAATAAGGCCATTTAAACTGAGACTCGGGAATGCATAGAATCATACCATTTACCTTTTGAAGAGGGAGGTCACACATTTACTTACCATCGTCCCATATGAATTTAAATGTGTCATAAAAGTCGAGGAAATTTAAATTTCTTTCGAACTCTGACTTTGGTCTATGCACTTAAATGTGTCTTAAAATTCGAAAAAATTTAAATTTTTTTTGAACTTTGAATTTGGTCAATGAAATAAATGTAACCACCCAATTTCACATCTAATAGTTAAGATTAATTGCAGTCATCTTGTACCAAAAATAATTAGTCTTATTATATAATTTTCTTTTACTTTTAATAAAAAAAAGTTACAATCATTCTTATCCCTTCAATTTTAAAATGAGTGGTGGTAAGAGTATCATTGAATAGAAACAAATTTTCAAAACCTTCAATTAAAAAAAGAAACTTTCAAGATGATCAATTTTAAAATATTTTGGCATAGTAAATGTTTTGAGGTGCGCTTTAATTTGATTTGTTTAGAGTTTCATATCTATATAAACTTTTTCCAAAAAAAAATAAAAAAAAATATTTCTTGAATTGGACTAAAGTCTTTGATTGAAGCGGCTAAGCTTCACCTCATTTCGGTCTAAGCTGAACATCCAATGACTTCGCCCTCTTTGACTGAAGCGAAGTGAATTTGACAGCATTAATAAAAACAATAGAAGCTAAACAATCTTTTTTCGCTCTCATACTAAGATTTAGAAATACAAAAATTGCCTGGAAATTATATTTTTTATGGTTTTTTTAGGTCCTTGAAATTTTAATTTTGACAATATTCTTCCCTAGCAATGAGGTTAGTGATTTTAAAAAAAGTAGCACTGAATTTGGAAAAAAAATCTCGAAAAATCCAAGTTTCAATAATCTCATCAATGTATTATTGTTGTATTGTATTTGTTTTTTATTGCAAGTTCTATGGTAGAAATAAATTGCGCTTAAAAAATATATTGGAAAATAACATTTTACATTGGAAAACCATCTAATTGATTATCTCAACATCGAGATGTATGGATATTGAAAAAATAAGATTTCAAATCCCAAAATTAATATATCTTGTAACACATTATATGAACAGTCTATTTTTTAAGATTTTAATGTTATTAGATATCTATTTAATTTGAACTATTTTTGAACTTTAAAATTTAGAAAAATCTCGAAAGGTGGTCACAATTAATCTCGACTTTTGGATTACATTTATTTTATTGAGTAAACACAAAGTTTATTCAACCTATCAAATTTCACATTGGTACAATAGGTAATGGTTCCATTGTACACACTTAAAATTTTATAACTAGAGATAAAAATAAAATTTTGAAAGGTGCTAAGGACTTTCAATGACAAAATTCCATGAAAGTGTACCTCACTTTGATCCCTGAGAGGGAAGCATGTGCCTCGAAGGAAAGAGCATGTTATTGGAAAGAGATCACAGGGGAGGGTAGGCGACTAGACGAGAGATTTACAGCAGAGCAGAATTAGAATGAAGGAAATTGTGATTAAGAGAAATAAAGATTAGCGTAACTCGCATTTTTCAACCCTTAAATAGGTTGATCGGACGGCTCTAGCTCTACTGGTGTATAAACTCTGTACTTATAATATACAGGATTCAGCAAACGCTGTGAGCTCCACCGAAATGGCTGCCTCTCACGCTGCCATTGATACCCAAAGGTTATTGAAATCCTCTGTTTTGCCATCTCCCTCTCTAAAATCTCATCCTCAAACTAGTAGAATTTGTACACCAAAACTACTGTCTTTCCCTTATGCAATTTCCAGTCGATCAGTTGATGTTAGAAGCAGCAATCGCAGAGATGATGTTCTTGACGCCATTAAACGCTCCTTATCAACATGCCTTTCAGAAACTCACCTCCAAAAGACAGTTCCTGGTCTCAAGACCAAGACCAGAGGCAAGGTAGCCTCCTTCCCTCTCTCTCTCTCTCTTCATTTCTCTCTTTACTTAGTTTTTCACTTTATTTTTTGTTTCTTTCTATTGGGTAAGTTGGGTTTTTTTTTTTGTTGAGTTTTGGGTTCGTTTGAATGGCAGGTGAGGGATGTTTATGATGGCGGGGACTATCTTGTTTTGGTCACAACTGATAGGCAAAGTGCTTTCGATAGAGTATTGGCCTCCATTCCTTTCAAAGGCCAGGTTCTATTTGAGCTCTTCTTTTCCTTTACCTGTTTGGGTTTGCTTGATGATGTGAAAATGTGATCAAAATCGTATCTTTTGTTTATATTCCATTTCCTTAGAGATAGCTGAAGTGGATTTCATTTATTTATTTATTTAATGTCAGCTCTTTTTTTTCCTTGTTTGCTGATGTAAATCTTTGGGGTTTTCGATGGTGGTAGGATATATTTTTATCTGATAGTTTAATTTTAATTATTGTTAATAGATCACCTTGTTATTTTGTGGGAATTCACTTCTGTTGAAAATCTCTAGTTCTCGTCTTTCATTTTTTCGGGGTTTTGGATTTATGTCTTCAGCTTCATAGCCTAATAGTCATTTCAGATTTTTCTTCCATGCGAGATATATATTTCTGCTCCTGGAGTTATCATCTTTCCTCTGATCATGATGTTTCCATTATATCCTGGCTCTTTATGTAGTCGAACATATCCTCATTCTTTATATTTGATTTCAGGTTCTTAATGAGACAAGTACATGGTGGTTTGATAGGACTCAGCACATCGTCCAAAATGCTGTTATATCTGTCCCAGATGAGAATGTTACCATTGCAAAAAAGTGTTCAGTTTTCCCAGTGGAGTTTGTTGGTGAGCTATCCTTGTACAGTTTATATTTATTGAGCTATCTGATGCTGTTGGACTTTGTGTGCCCTTGGTTATTATCCTTTAATTTCAGTCTATGGTGTATCAGGAAATGCTAGTACTATATCAGTGAACTTCTGTTCTTAACATTTTCCTTGTGATAAATGACAAAATGCTACCCACTTTCTAAAAAAAATGCTTCTCAAAAAAATGCTAAACACTTCTAAGCGTCTGGTCTTTATAAAATACAGCAATAGGCTCCATGCTGTTGAATACTTATGTCACTTGATAGGACAGGGGCTTTTTAAGGTGGGACTGACTGCAAGAAGAAGTTTTTCTTGAATTTAAAGATGTTCCAGTAACATTTATGCTTCCTGGTTCTTGCATTGCAATTGATATCAAAATAAAATGCACGTATGGATGAGAAGTTTGTACTTAGAAAGTCCATAAGGTACAATATGTAAATCTGCACATATAGGATGCTTTGACTCATATATTCATGCTTAGATTCATATATATGAGCAAGAATGCATCAGACTATTTGTATATTTAAATTTTCTCGATTGGTATAACATGCATTGTGCATGTGCTATTAGATATATGATGTGAATGGCATCGGTACATATACTCACACACAATCACATGAAAAAATTGAGTAGGAAGGTAGGAGCTATTTTGATGCTTAATGTTTGAGATGCTGCTGTATATAATTTGTAACACCTTTTTGCCTGACGATGTAAGAATGTAACTTAAAAAAGATGGTTGAGGCATTTTGTTACTCATTGAGAGCAATGTGAAGCTGTGTTAATTTAACTTTTTACCAATTGTTCACATGTTATGAAGTATAATTGTAGATGGGAAGTATACTTTTACATCATTTGGTTCAAAAGTAATAAAAAAAGTTAACATTCAAAAGAGATTGTTGACCTTTTATGAGTTAATCTGTTTGTCAGATTCAAATTTGTTTCTAGATTTTTTTTCATTTTTCATTTTTTTTTTTTTGCCAAGAATTTTTATCGTTTGAAGTCCATCGGGATTCTTCATTTGAAGATATAATGACTAAGGATGACGTCTGTTTACTTCCTGTTTTTACATATTTTTTTTTAATCCTTTTTAAGCATTTTGAAATATCGGATTTCGTAGAATATTTTCCAATTGTGAGAAGAGATCCCCATGCAATTGGTTCCTAACATGAATCATATTCCTGTATGGGATAAAGTACAATTTAGCCATGGGAATAGCTAATGAGTGTGTGCAAACAGACACACATGAGATGCTAGGGTGTATCTGATTAAGCAGTGTTTGTTCCTTGAGTAAAATCAGTCGAAAAGTGTATAATCATTATTCATTTCTTTTGACTGGTAAGATTCTTACCCTCAGGATGCCATGCACATAGATAATGTCATTTGATACAGGCACTGGGAAAATATCCTGGATTTTATTTTTGTGTTTTTTTCAGCAACATTTCTGTTGACTAAGACATTGTCAGGTCCTCTTTTTCAGTTAGTCTGTGAGGACTTAATTATGTAGACAGTGACTTTTTTTTACTGTTATTTGAAAAAAGAAATCTGTAGACTCAATAAAATACTTAAAAATCTGCTTCTCAGAATAATACCTAAAATCTGCTATTGTTTATGATGTTGTACTTTATTCTTTTGCTACTTCTGATATTCAAACTGTATTTCGTGTGTGGCCGTTCCATTTGCTCTTTCAAGCAATTAACATTATGTTGCCGGTAGTTACTTTTTTGAAATGGAAACAAACTTTAGATTGTGAATTTGTTCCGAATTTTCCCTGTGCGCCTGTGAAGTTTCACTTAAATATTATTCAAAATTTACAAGTTTCTATTGCAATTTTATTGTTTAAGTATTGTTAAAATTGTGATTGCTCCCATACATATTCGTGTTTGTTCCGCCTTCACAATAGGATTATAAAGAGCAGCACAGGCACCTTTTTATTATTTGAGTCAGAAAGTATTTCTTAGTAACTAAGACTTAATTCAAATAGCAACTTGATCATGATTTATATTTTATAATATCACATTTTCTTGTGATTCAAAAAATATCATATTTTCTGGTGATTCCCAGTTAGAGGTTTTGTGACTGGAAGCACTGACACCTCTCTGTGGATGGTCTACAGCAAAGGCATTAGACATTATTGTGGCAATGTTCTTCTAGATGGTGAGATGTAGTACTGTTCTGTAAGCTATATATGTATGTGTGTGTGTGTGCAATTTGACTTTGTTATTAGTGAATATCACATGTTGCAGGTTTGGTGAAGAATCAAAAGCTTGCTACAAATATACTCACTCCCACTACGAAGGGGATTGATCATGATATCCCAGTAACTCCCGACCAGGTCTTTTGCTTGTCTTCTTCATTGAAGTTAGACTATGGGCGATATCTCCATTACTTTTATATACTCAAATCTTATGAACTAGTATAGAAGCAAAATCACAATTCTATAAGTGTGATAGGGCAAAGACTTTGATCATAATCTCATGACATTGGAATATCGCAGTGGTTCACATTGAATCATTATTATTGCATTTAGTTGGCATGAATTCAATGCTTTTGTGATATTTCAGATAATTGGACAAGGGCTGATGACAAAAGATGAATTCGATGAAGCTAGTCACAAAGCCTTACAATTATTTGAATATGGACAGGTGACTCATGTCCCCTAATTTTTTACATATGACATATCAAGCTTTTCATGATTTTAACTTCACTGATTTACAATCAACCTCCACCAAATCCTATATTCCGGAATACTTACCCACTGACTCATCTTAGATATTCAACATCAATAATATAGATGGACATCATTTTCATAGCAATGATTTTAACTCTTCTATATTGTGATATATTATCATTTGTTGAAGATGCATTAATCCCTGACTTGCAGGTATTCCTGCTATAGTGAGTGATGCCCCTAGGATATGATCTTTTGTCATCTTTTCCCCTATTTTTCATATAATAAGTTATATTGTTTTTATTGAATATTTGAAAGTTTGCTCTCCTTCCATCTTTGTGCCTTACATTTTGAGGCTAAGCTGAAAATTCCTTATGCTAAGATGGTAATGTACATACTATCAATTGCTATCTGAATACAAATGTGATGCCCCTAGGTCATGATCTTTTGTCATCTTTTCCCTTATTTCTCATACAATAAGTTATATTATTTTTATTGAAAATTTGAAAGGTTGCTCTCCTTCCATCTTTGTGCCTTACATTTTGAAGCTAAGCTGAAAATTCCTTATTCTAAGATGGTAATGTACATACTATCAATTGCTACCTGAAAGAATAATATAATTTTCCTTGCATTGAAACACCTTTGCATTGCCCTGGTGAAGGTGATCATAATGCTGATGATTCAGTCAGCACTATATCAAGTTATGTGTGAGCAAAGCTTGATCGCAGGAAATTGTCCAAGAATGTGCAGAGATTTGTTTGAGAAATTTGGTTCCTCATGGCCCTATCAAATACACATATCTATGGCTTTTCTACTTTAAATATATGATTAAATCTAGTGTACAAATATATGAATATCTCTGGACATATTTACTTTTTGAATTGCTACTAGTGACAGACTAACTACTAGAGAATTTCTTATCAATTCAAAATGTGACTGTATCAAGATATTCATTATATGCTACACTGAGTCTAAATAAACAGTTAAATAAAATTACTATAGATTTAGGGATTTGAGTGGCCAAGCAAGCCTCTTACACGTTATTGGGCAGGATATCCTGGTAAAAAGGTTTTTGCAGCATATAATTAACAATGAATTCTCCTAAATGATGATGTCAACTTTCCACACGTAGAGGCTGAAGCAATGCACTATAAACATCCGAGTCTCCTGATTTTTCTTTTCATTTGGTGTATTGGTTGTCTTTCCTTGTAGAAGACCAGCAACAGCCTTCACATCTGCAAAGCTTTAGCTTAGGTTGGGCCTGATGGCTCTGAACCTGTAAACTGATCATCACTTGGAGAAAGTCGATTTGCCTAGACATTTTTCATGGTCATTAAGTCGATGTGGATGGCAAACTATGTCTATTATTCTCAATGTGGATGGCGAATTATGTCTATTATTCAGCTTGTATTGGTTTTACGTAGGCCTGGCCACCCTACTTTTTAATCTGTTGGGAGCATTAACTTTAGTCTGGTCACAGCATCTGCTACATACTCAAGTACAAGTTGACTTCATCCCATGAATAGGTAATTGTCATTTACAAGACAGGAAAGTCTTTCCTTTAGATCAATTGTTTTTTCGTTTATTTAACAGAATCAGGTTCGATTTCCATCCGCTGCCACAAACCCCATCTGTAGAATCTCATCCCTTTGGGACTAATCTCAAGCCCTGCATGCACTTCAACCAGTTCCAATCAGTAGATATGCATGAATCACTCTCTTATGTGGTCTTCTAGTGCAGTTTTTGTCCACTACACCTTAGCTCGTTTTGATTCATGAATCGATTTAGATTATTCAATCCTTCACTCCCACACTCTATTTTGTTCACTTCTACCCATCTTGCCAAACAGTTCATCCTCATTGAGATGGCTGCTCCAGATTGTTATAGGGCTCTGGTGTTTTGAAAACAGGGTTTTGGTTAAACTTTGCTACTTATATCAATTGGATTTTCTTATTAACCATTTCATGGAATTCATTAATATTTCTGCATAAAAGATATGTGATTCGACCACCTAATCTTTGCTCGTCCAATATAAGTTAGGGTAGAAATTAATACAAAAATGCTTAATTACTTACAAGAGTAGTATTTGTCAAAATAATACAATAAATTCATTAGTTGCTAGAAATTACATGAATTCATATTTACTGAAAATATATCAATAATTTGTTTTGCAGCATGTGGCGTTGGAGCATGGTCTCATATTAGTAGATACAAAGTACGAATTTGGGAAGGATTCTGATGGATCACTATGTTTGATTGATGAGGTAGATCATATTTTTTGCTGGAATTGCCTGAAGTTTATTTTTTGTATCTTCTGTGAGCAATATTGACCATATAACTAATATGTCCATCAATTTTAGTTCTAAAACCTAGCCTATTTATTGAAACTGGCTTAGCTTCAACATCATCATCAAAGAGAGTTTGTTTTGATATCTTGTCTGAAATGCCATCTCTGTCCTTCTTTTGACTTCTAAATGCTTTGGCCTCTGATTATTTGGAATGCAGTCTCATTCAACCGAGTTCCTAGCTTCACTTGCTCTGTAATTCCTATTGACCCCAGTAGGAACATCATAAATACTCAACTGTATTGCCCTTACTATCAACTGCATTACCCATATTATAGGTTACTTTCCTATTTAATCTCTCTTGGGTGCTTCACGTCTAACCAAAGTGCTTCATACCCAAGCAAGATTTTCTACTTCTGCCCCTTTAAGCTCCATTTCCATACGGTTCCTGGAGAATCTTGATGCATTCCATGCACACTCTACTTACCAACCTTGTCTCTTTGAAAATTCTATTACTTGTATCCCTTGCAATGATTCGTAAAAGTTTACTAAATGACAATACCTCCATTCTATGTACCACAGTTATGTCTTTGGAAAATCTGTTATTCTTCTTTTTGCCATGGCCCCCAGAAAATAGCTAGTCTACAAAACATCCTCATGTCTTTTAAAAATCTGTTGTTCTTCTCTTTGCCATGGCCCTCACAAAATAGCTAATGGACAGTATCTCCATTATATACGTTCTCCCTTCATGAAAGGGCCAGCTGCCTGAGAGCTAATAATCTCTTCTGGTTTCTTAGAGAACAACTAAAGTATCCCCCATAGATCCAAGAAGTAACCAACACCACCTTGCAAAGTCAAAACACATGAAGGGATGCTTCATCTTCTCCACTTTCAGAAGCCCTGATATTGACGGTAGTTAATTGGTTACCACTGTGGATTTTGTCCCTAACTACCATAAGCCAAAACTGGCTATTTGTGCCAAAGAGAATATATCATACTTCCTACACAAGAATACTGCATTTGCACATGACTATGTTCATAAATGATCCGCTACCAAATCAACCATTATCATTCAACATGCACACTCTTTTTTTTCCTTCCATCAAGACTGCTGCTCTAGACCAGCCTGGCAGCCCCCTTTCCCTCAAGTTACATCATCCGTTAAATCTTGTTCACATCCCCATTCTCCATCAAAGCTATCAATAACATGATCTCCTTTGTTTTCTGCAAATTTAGAAACTTATGAAACCCATGTCAAAACTGTGTCCGACACTAGAACTTCCCCCATAACCTAACATACTTTCATACTTGACCCTATACATGACACCCTTGTTGAAGTACCTTCCCACCTCTCTACCTTATCTCCATGCACTAAAAAAGTACACTACCTCTTGTACTCCCTGGATCTCAAATATACATCACTCCTCATCTTCCCATCCCCAACTTGACCCATGTTTTCCCTTGATAATCCTTCTGCATTGACTTTTCATTCTTCCAAAACCTCCCACTTTAGCATCAAGGCCTGTTAACTTTGACCTTCTGATGACTAAACCTGCTCCATTCTATCTTTGGATTGCATAACTCCTTTCAGTGCTGCAGTTAGAGCTATGGTCTTCCCCACCATTGAAGGTTGACCACATGGGCCCATCCTGCTATCTCTGTGGGAAGTTGGGCATGCCATATAAGTAAAATCTGTAGGGCCCATATAATATGATTCTTATGATCATGAAAACTTTCATGTCAAAGTGGTTATCACTGTCCTTATCAATGAGTTAGATGGTGTTGAAGGGATTGGCTTTCCACTGTAAATTTCAATTAATAAATTATACAGACTTGCTTTCTCTCCATTACTGTCCAACCTACTGACCTGATGATGATAAGCCCATTGCCAGCCATTTTTGTCCCTATGGCCTTATAGATTATATTTTACTTCTCGAAATTTTTGTGTTGGAAGGTCAAATAACCCAAAGCAGTGGAAATTATGATTATATCTATTTTTCTAAGGGAGAGAAAGTAGAAGATTGACTTTTAAATTTAACTCCACTCTTTCTTTTCCCTCAATTTTTTAGGAAATGTGGCAATGTTCAAATATCTGTTGCTCATTAGTCATGTAAGTTTCAGGTTTCCAATTTTTTTCCTTCTCCTGCTATCATTCCTGTTTTCTTACCAACTACCAGTATGTTGATTTTCTTTTCCTAAACATATGATAAATGCTTATAGATATTCATGTGAATAGAGCTTGACTTTCAATTTTTGCATCTTTCCTCTGCCCTAAAACAAATCATTTTCCCTTTTATTGGAATACTCATCTGGTGATTCTAATGTGCTATCCAAACTTTCAAATTGAATAAATATTTCTATGTAGGCAATTTACCCAAGGCAATCAATGTATAGTATGCTTCTGTGGGAGCATGATATGGGCGCTCATTTCTCAATGGGTAGATCATCATGCAAAATATGATACTTATTAAAAAATTCTAAAATCAAGCCTATTGTTTGAAATTTATGAATGTTTTATTTCTTCAAATCTATTTTACTCGGTGTTCAAAAACTTTGTCTCATACACAGGGTGCCTGAACATGTATGGTACATGTGTGTGTGTGTGTGAGAGAGTGTGTGAAGCCGACCCCAAATAATTGGGAAAAGGGTATGATGATGATGATAATGTATATATGTGTGTGTGTATGTTCGTTTTTTTTTTTTTCGGTTTTTGTTTTTCAGATTATGCTTTTTTGTAAAGGCTTTTTCATGAAGTCCACTTGTACTTGCCCCAGTGTGGGGTCCGAGTCCCAAGCAGAGTGGAGTATATAAACCCTGATAGTATTAAGAGCGAATATATAAGAGTGCGACGAAGTTTTGAAAACTCAGCTTGGGCTTGGGACATGGGCCCTGCCCATGCCGAGTTACTTAGGCAAGTCTGAGCGGACGTGCCTGAGTTCTATTAGAAAATTAAAAATATTTCTCTAAATACAGAGAAATTTCAGGCAGATCTCCCAAAATCAAGGCTTTGATCCCACAAATTACTATGGGGATATTGTAGAGGATCAAGTCAACTTCATACACAATCAAATTTCAACACATTTGGTCGCACAATGAGGAAGAAATTAAGTACTTCACCAATCGGGTAGGGTTCGAAACAAAAGCTTGATTTATTTTTCAAAAAACTGACTATTTCACGCAGATCTTTCAAAAGCAAAGCTTTGATCTCACAAATTAGTATGATGATCTTGTAGAGGATCAAATAACCTTAAAAAAGAACCAAATCTCGACGAATTTGGTTACAATTGTTGAAGATATCAATGCCTCAGCAGATTGGGTAGGCTTTGAAACAAAAAGCAGATTTTTTCAAAATTCCGACATATTTTGGGGCAGATTTCTCAGAAACAAGGGTTTGATCCCGCAAATTGCTGTGGGGATCTTGAAAGGGATCGAATAAGCTTTAAATAGAACAAAAAATCAACAATTTTGGTTACAAACTGCTTTAAGATAAGAAGAGCTTGAGGAATATGTGTGTACACCCATACTTTCCTTGGCACGTCAGGCCAAGTGACTGTGCGGATTTCTTGACCACTGAGTGCGACATTTGAACTTAAAAATTTATAAAGAATTCAATAGGCGACTGAAATTTTTTGTTAATATTGAATGCATTAAATGGATTAAATTAAAACTAATAAGCATTATACAATTTCTGATATTAAATATGTGTTAGTAATCTATTTTCTCAGTTGGAGCATTGTGCAAGGCATGTGCCATTAGCTGGTGCATATACATTAAATAGGTTTGCACAGTCCAATTTGGTATATGAGATGGTATTGAATCGCATTCTACCCATTAAAACATAAAATAAAATTGGAATCACCTTGGGCTGTATGGTTACCTCAGGTGCACACACCAGATTCAAGCAGATACTGGATAGCCCATTCATATGAGGAGCGCATCAAGAATGGTCTTGAACCTGAGAATGTTGATAAGGTGAATCGCTGCATCAATTATACTATTTTCATTTATTCATGATATTGAGACCTCAAATTCATTGGCTTACATACTGACCATCATAATGGCTGTTTTGCTAATAGGAGTTTTTGAGGCTGTGGTTTAAGGATCATTGCAATCCATATGAAGATAAGGTGCACTACAATCACATGCTTAATATGGGAGTGATGAATTTAAATCTTTTCTGATGTCTAGCATATGAGTTTGATATTCAAGACTCTACAAGTCTTTATATTAATTTTGCAGGTCCTACCAGTTGCTCCAGAGGAACTTGTTTGTGAACTAGCCTGGCGGTATGTTACTCTGTTTCCATATCACAGGGAAAATGCCAATTCTATGCTAGGAAAAGCTGTATAAATCATACAAATGCTCAATTGCCAAGCCATTATTTGAACAGATGACTAGTTTACTCTGTCTATTGTTGTAGAAAAAAAGTTATAAATTATTTTAAAATAATTGACTGGGGGTGAGAATTTCTTTCCAAAGGAAACCTGTCAAGGCAGTGTTTCAAAATTTCAAATTTATCTGCAGCTTGCTCATGATTTATGTGGTTTTATTTATTTCCCCTGAGTGCTGTGATAAGGAATACATGGACATTTAAATGATGGTTTTGTTTTCTGTAGGTATATATTCTTATTCGAAACAATCACAAGGACACAGTTCAAGGTGCCACAGCTAGAGGTAAAATGTTTTCGTCGCCCCCACCTTCCGGATTTTTTCAAATGCATTTCATTAAGAGATTAAGCTACTGATTATGATTAATGATTCTGCTTCAGGAGCCCATACATGATCGGATATCACGAAATGTTTCACAAGAACTGTTGGAGTTGCGGCAGTAAAGGTTTTAACAGGAGCCAAGTATGTAATAGTTTTGGTTTCTACAAAAATAAGGGCAAGTGTTCACAATGATTAGGGGAAAAAAAAAAGTAAATCGGAAAATTTTTGGGATGACATTGTTTTTGGGATAACATGTCCGTAACTTTCATAATCTATTTATTTGTGTAAAACGTTTCACATTATATCTATTCATTTGGGAAAACTTGAAAAATCTATAGAAGCATATTTATATATGCTATGATTCATCTTATCATGCATCTATGTGCATTTTATCGTTATTAGTCATACATTCCACCTAGGGGCGGCAATGGATCGGGTCTGGTCGACTTGGACTCGACCCGGTTAAGGTCTGAGTCGGATCTGGGTCTAGAACTTAGCAAAAATAAATTTAAAAAAAAAAA